TCATGTCCTTGATTTCTGGGAAATTCACAGCTCCTCTATTTTTTCTTTCTGGAACTCCTATTGGGTGACTGGTGGACTGTCAAGAGTAATTCTTTAATTACTCTTTCCTCTTCTCTCTTTTATTTGTCATTTTCCTTCTAGTTCTGTTTTTTAAGGAGATTCCCTTTATGTTCTAACTCCTCTATTGAATTTTTTAATTTTAGTTAATTTTTTAATTTACAATTTTTCTTGTGCTTTATTCATTTTCATAGCGTTCTATTGGTAGTTTATTCATGCAACATTTTCCCTTATTTCTTAGTCTCTAAAATGCTACCTTACACTTAGCAGGTACTTAATAAGTAATTTTTGAATTAAAAAAACCCTCTATATTAATTAAATTTTAAAAACATTTCATACTGTTTATTGTTTGATCTGTCTCCTTGAAGTTCTATTTTCTGTTTCTGTTTTCCTCCTCATTTTGGAGGCTTTCCTCAAATATCTAATATTCTTTGGCTGCTCATTAATTTTGATATGAGGCTCTAAGAGGGAGTTTGGAAATTTTGATCATGGGTAGGACATGCAAGCTTTACTGGAGGATAATCTAGTGACTAGCTGCCTGTACTAGTTTTCTATTGCCACACAACAAATTACCACAATCTTAGTGGCTTAAAATAACAACAAAAATGTTCACCTCACAGTTTCTGTGGGTCAGAAGCCCAGCACAGTGTGGCTGAGTTGTCTGCTCAGGGTTTCATAAGCATGAAATCAAGGTGTTGGCTGGATTGAGTTTTCATCTGTAAATTCTGAGGAAATGTTTGCTTCCAAGCCCATTTGTGTTGTTGGTAGAATTCAGTTCCTTGTGCTTGTAAGACTGAAGTTCCATTTCTTTGCTGGGTGATTTCTTGCTCCCTCCATTTTCAAGCATATTGTTCTCTCATACTTCAAATCTCTGACTGCCTGTCTCTGATCTATAGAGTCAGATTTAAAGGGCTCATGTGATTAGGTCAGACCCACCTGGATAACCTCCCTATGTTAGGGTCGACTGATTTGGGATCTTGCTTACATCTGCAATATCCCTTCACAGTAGTACCTGGATTTGTGTGTATTGAATAACTGAAAGAAGGTATATGTACACCAGGGGCTGGGAATCTTGGGGGCCAATAGCAACAGTCATTCCCCATTTTTGCATAGCACTTTGCCACCTATGACATGCTTTCACCGACATCATAGTCACCCTATATTTTGGCAGTTGATCACAATACTAACCAAACCATGCAGGGAATTACTTTAATTTTATTTACTTCTCCGTGCAGTTTGATGGAGAAGTTGGATATCGTAGTGCCTTTGCTCATTCCGCATTTTCTGCTGAGAAAATCTTCCTTTCCTAATAAACACTCACTTATTCTTTCGGACTCAGCTCAAGTGTCACATACTTACCCTCAACATTATTCTAGTAAATCACTTTATAATACCAGGTATAGTTCCCTTTTGCCTAAGGGAGGAAGCAGATCTCATTCATCTCTTTATTCTTAGCAGAGTGTCTGGAACAGAATAGGCACTTAGTGACTATTTGAGAAATAATGAACAAAAACTGGTCCTAAACAGAATGGTCTTTGTTTTGCGTTAAGGAATACCCCCTGATGCGTATACGCACGTGCAGGCGTTAGTAGCAAACAGAGAGAAGTCAGAAGGGTCTGTGATTCTAGGCCTACTGGGAAATGAATGGTTTTGAGACCTAAATCTTGTTCTTTGGTGAGTTGTTCTTGACACTGGAATATAATATCTTCTGTGCTGTAAAGATTAAGGCTTTTCTGCACCTTACCACGTGGTTGAGAGTTCTGACTAACATCCTGTAGCATGTAGAAATCCTTGGGTTTAGTGAATTACATTTTTTCCTTTAGCCCAAGAATTGGCCAATCCCTAAACAACTTCTACTTAGAGATCATTGGCTTTGGCCCCTGAATAATTATGAGTTATTTTTCCTAAATGTAAAAGCAATACAAGTTTATTCTAGAACTTTCGGGGGTGGGGAACCAAAAGAGCACATAGAAAAAAGTGAAAACTATAAATAATCCCAATATCCAGAAATAACCATTATTATTTTATGTATTTTTCTTTTCTCTCTTTTATATCTGTGTACATATTATCTATGTATCTATCTATCCATAATATTATGCTATTAACATCTGAATAAGAGAAAGCAGAGTGAAGTTATGGAACATCTGAGACCAGGAGAACAACAAAAGAACAAATAGATCTTCACTGGAAAGTGAGACAGGTTAATGGAAGAACAGCAGCTGAAGCTTGGAGTGGTTTTGCTCTCCCCCATAACAGGTGAATACATGGGGCCCATGGCACATCCTGAAAAGGCTGGGGCAGTGTAGCCCCTATGAACTCTAGAGACGAACTTTAAGATGAAAAAATTCCTTTGGGTATCTACAAAAAATGAGCATATGACCATAACAGAAAGACAGGATCTCAGGCTGAGGAAAAGCTACTGGAAGCAGAATCAAAAATTGAATAGGATAGGAATATCAGAAATAAAATAAAAAGAAGGTTCAGAAAAGTAAGATAAAGGAACTCGGTTAGGAATTATCTTGAAAATAAGCTGCCATATTTCTTAACCCTATACAAAAACAACAAAACAAAATATTTTAGAAAAGGTATCTGAACTAATTCTCTTTCTAAAATTTCAGGAAAACATGATTCACATGTAAATGAGCAGCAGAAAAGTATTGAGGTCAAATCGCGTACAGCGTTACTATAAGAAAAAAGTCAGTAAGGGACGGAATACCGTCCCAACCAACACTGGAGGCGTGCTCGACAGACATGCTCCAGAAGCACGTCTATAGGATTCATCTGCAAATCAAATTAAGAGCCATTAAGAAAGCAATATAAGACATTAAAGACTAACATAAATCAGAATGAGGAAAAACTCAGAAAGGAAATGACAGAATATAAGAAATAATTAGAAATAAAAGAAAAAATTAAAAATTAAAAATTATTTAGAAATAAAGACTGAGCTAAAAGTAACAGAAAATTATGTCAAATAAAGAGGAAAAATGAAAAATTAAAAAATTTTAAAATTGTTACATTTAAAAATAAATAAGCAAGAAATAAAATGTACTCAAAAGAAAGTTACAAACACAGATAAACAAAGATTCAAGACACAGACAAAAGTCTCTAAAGAAGACAGCAAAACAAACAAAACAAATATTAAAATTATGATTGAGAAAATGTTGCTGAAATAAAAAATTAAAAATACATATTGAAGGAAGAAACTTCATGCCTAAAAATATTAACCTAGAATGCCCAACATAAGACACATTCTGGTAAAAATAACTGGACTTTTAAGAGAGAAAAAACCTTTTGGCAATCTAGATAAAATTATTATGTTGACTGAGAGAAAAGTAGATTATCATTAGACTTTTTGATAGTAATGCTATATGCTATCTAAAATAGAATAACATATTAAAGACCCTCAGATAAAGATAATGTGAGCCAAACATTTTATATCCAGACAAACTGACCTTCAGAAGTATAAAAGACAGAGAAAATTATTGACATGGAAGAATTCAGACACTATTGTCCCCGTGACCCTTCCTAAGGAATCCAGTAAAGAATTTGTTTCAGTGATCCCTTCCTGTGCATTCTATTAGAGAATAGTCAAAACGAGTAAAGAGACATCTACATAAGAACTTGTGAGCATTAAATAGTTATTAAATGTGTTGTGAAAAGGAATAATTATACTATGTAATGAGTACGCTATGTATTGACAGTGTAGACTTCACTATAAAATAAAATGCAGAGGAAGGGGATTGCATTTGTAAAAACAAACAAACACCAAAAACTAAACCAAACAAAAACAACAACAAAGCTAAACAACTGTTTCAGTAGTCGCAAATGGTGGTGATAGTATGTGCTGTTATTCTGAGACTGACGTGTGCTTTTTAAAAGCTGCCTTGCCATCTCTCTGTGTCCTTATGTCACACATATGGCTACACCTCCCTTCTCAACTCCAAAACCTCTTCCGATCCTCTTTCTTCCTTTCCTGCTTATCCTACCATTCTCTTCATTTCTCTTCTGCTATTAGCTTTTGGCCCCCTTCAACTAGAACCAATCAATCCATTTGCAGGTTTCCTTTACTATAATCACTCCAGCAAGACAAAAGCCTTGGATCTAATTTTTAAACACAAAATTCTCCTGACCTGGTAGAGGAGAAGCTGAAAATATATCACTTATTATTTTGTCGTATCAGTTAGAAAGTTGTCTTATTAATATGATCCGTATTAATGCATAATTTTAATATTAGATTTCCTGGAGTTCCATAATCTTGTCCTTTTTTTTCCTTTTCACTCATTTTCTGTGGTTAAGTTTGTTAAATGTAGTAACTGCACAATTGTCTTTATACTTTACTCTGTTTATATAGATGCTACCTATGTAATCATTTTTTAGTTATCCATTTCTAGAAAAGTCAGTCCTTAGATAGGCTAATTTCCTATTCCTAGGTAGGAAAATATTAAGAGGGTCACTTAGCGTAGAGTTGGCACATATACCATACAATTAGGTAATGAGTTCTATTCTTTCTAGGAATTTATGTCTAAAAATATTTTTTAGAACTGTTGTTCTAGACCATGCCTGATATCTAGTATTTTGGGTCAACTCGTGTTGTAGGTTTCCTGTGCAGATTTGACTTCTGCATTTGCACAAGCTGAAAGGAGAGGGAATATATATGTAGAAAAATGTTGGTTAAGAGAGGCAAGGACAGTCCTCTTGACCCCATCCTGTGGCATTTGCATGTTTTCTTGTCTACATCTGTACAATGGGTGAATCCCGGATTTCTTGGTGTGCCTTGGGAAGCTCTGTCAGATGAGACTGAGGGGGAGGGTAGAGTTAGGGACCTGGGATCTTGCCATCATTATGATTCTCTTTGAGAGACGTGTGGGACAACAAGTGGTTTTTCATCAAGGAGGAAACAACAAGCCTCTGGGCTTTCCCAGAGTTGACTGAATTCTGTGCGCATGAGCTTCTTCTTCTTGTTACTTTGCTGCTACCAGCAGCTCCGGCTTTGCCCTTTGAAGAAGCAGCAAAGAGTGTCACTGGTGAGAGCAGAGTTCAAAGGCAGAATGATAGTCAGGACACAGAGGCAGCCAGCCTAGTCGGGTCACAGAAAGGTGAAATGAGAGGTTTGGAAGAGGGAGTCAGAGTGTTCTGCAAATATAGTCATTAGTAGCAGTAGCAATGATAACTTGATAGATAGACACCCTGTACCTTGGTACAATGCACACTGGAGAAGATCTCCACCGTCCCACTCTCCATCGCTGTGTGGTGTTTCCTGGTCTTAGATTTCTTTGTTCCAATATATATATTTGCATTTCCTCATTTTTCTAATGTAAATTCTCTAAATTTAAAAAGATACATCTCTCATTGGGGAACACACTTTTCCCTAAAATAGCTACACTTTAATCTCGATCCCATTAGTTAACAGTGATCATTTAGAATGTTCATTTTATGTACTAACACGATCAAAGGACAGGAAAGCAAATCAACACAAGAAGTTATAAGATTAGCAAACAAAAAACATGGGAAGATGTTCATTTCCATGAATGATTAAAAAGGGGGACTTAAATTAATTGATCATATTGGATACAGTAATCCCTCAATAAATACTTTTGTATGAGGTACCAATTAATATCTAATAAATGGAAAAATTAAAAGAATGATAGTACTCATCAAGAATGAGAATGTGGTCAAATACATTATTGACGGTAGTGTGTCTTGTAGGATTGCTTTTTGCCAAATAAAAATAGCTTTCTTAGTTTTTCTGATTATAAAAATAAATAGTCACATAGAAAATTCAAATAAGGCAGAATTCTATAAATGGAAAAATAAAAATGACCCCAAATCTCTCAGTCCAGAAGAAACCACTGATGACATTTTGGTGAATATCTTTTTAAACAGCTCTCCATGAAGATAAACACAACATTAAATTGTTACTATAATATTACGTTTACTGTCTGCAACCTGAACACTGGAGGTACCATGACTGATTTCAACACGATGTAAGTGATGAACTTGTAGCTTCTTTGCATTTTTCTAGCTACAGAAAACAACTCAAAGATGAATGTCCTTGAATATACATTCATCCACACTTGATAAAGTACATCCTGGAAGAAAGGATTACAAATAGACTGTCTAACAAAGAATACATAAATTTTAAATTTTGATCCATATTGCGTTTTAGAAATATAGAAATTTACATTCCCAGTAATGATCATTCATTGTTTTCTCACACTCTCCAACGTTTGATATTGTCAATATATGTTGTTAAAATTTTAACCATGAGAGGTACAAAGTTAGAATTTCTTGCTTTATTATACATATTTCTTTGATTATTACTGAGATTTATTTTTTTTCTGTCAACATTTTTCTAGTTGCCAATAGTCTATTCATCATTGTTACTAATTTTTCAATAGGGATGCTTGTTTACTCTTATTGTTTAGTGTTAATTATATATTGGGGATATTTAGTATTTGTTATGTATGTTGAAAATATTTTCCCAACTTATCACTCTTTTTCAATTTTGTTTAAGGTACTTAATTTTTTCTTTGTTTTTGCATAGGTAGATTTTAAAATTTTGAGTAGGTACTAATAGTTTCTAAATTTTATGGCATACTTAAAAAGACCTCTTTCATCTCCTGAAGACATGAAAATAGAACTACCATAGGACCCAGCAATTCCTCTTCTGGATATACACCCAAAGGAAATGAAATCACCACTTTATAAAGATTTTTGCACTCCTGTGTTCATTGTGGCATTATTCAGTGGCCAAGATATGGAAACAATCTAAGTGTCTGTCCACAGATGAATGGATAAAAATGTTATGGTACAGTCATGCATTGCTTAATGATGGGGATATGCACTGAGAAATATGTTAGATGATTTCATCATTGTGGGAATGTCATAGAGTGCACTTACACAAGCCTAGATGGTACACCCTACTACACACCTAGGCTATGTGGTATAGCCTATTGTTCTTAGATTACAAACCTGTACAGCATATGTATGTATATATATGTATATATATACACACACATATACATATATATGTATATGAGGGTACTTTTAAAGTTCATGGAAAAATAAGACTAAAAGATAATATGAATCTTTTCATGAACTTTCTGAAGACGACTCACACACACACACACACACACACACGAGGGTACATCAAAAAGTTTGATGGATATTATTCAGCCTTAAAAACGAAGGAAGAGGACATTCTGCTAAGTGAAATAAGCCAGACACCGAAAGGAAAAATACTGCATTATCTTATTTATGTGTGAAATCTGAAAAAAAGAAATTGAATACATAGAAAGAGGGAGTAGAAAGTAGTTATGGGGGATTGGGAATCAGCAGGTGGAGAGATACAGGCCAAAGGGTCCAAAGATGTATTTATCTCAGATGAGTAAGTCTAGAGCTCTAATGTACAACATGAGCACTATAGTTAATGACATTGTGTGTGTGTGTGTGTGTGTGTGTGTATATATATATATATGTAGATACTGGAAATTTGCTGAGTAGATTAATATACACACATGCAAGGTAACTGTGAGATGACAGCTATGATCACTTCACTATATATGAAGGGACTTCAAAAAGTTTGTGGAAAAATGGAATTAAAAGATAAAAATAAAAAATATAAACCTAATTTCTCAACATAAGCTCCATCAAGTTCAGGACACTTTTGTAAATGATGATAACAACCATTTAGCCCGTCCCTAAAGAACTGAGGGTCCTGAAAATTTAGCCATGTCAATGCAGTCTTTTCTATATTATTAACAAGAAAAATGGGTGCTCTTTAAAGATTTTTTATGATTAGGAAACAGAAAGAAGTCAGAAGGACTTCTTTCAAATCAGGACTGTAAGGTGGATGCATAATGATTCCCCATTGAAGCTCTCACAAAATTGCCCTTTTTTGACGAGGGATTAGCAGGAGCATTGTCGTGGTGAAGGACTCTCCAGTAAAGCTTTCCTGGGCATTTTTCTGCTAAAGCTTTGGCTAACTTTCTCAAAACACTCCCACAATAAGCAAATGTTATCATTCTTTGGGCCTCTGGAAAGAAAGTCAACAAGCAGAATGCCTTGATCATCCCAGAAACTGTTGTCATGGCCTTTCCTCTTAACTGGACTGCTTTTTTGCTTTGACTGGACCACTTCCACCTCTTGGTAGCCATCACTTTGATTGTCTCTGTCTTCAGGATTGCACTTTACCAGCCATGTTTCATTTCTTGTTACAGTTCTTTGAAGAAATGCTTCAGGATCTTGATTGTGCTCGTTTAAAATTTCCGTTGAAAGCTTTGCTTTTGTCCTCCGCTGATCTGGGTGCAATAGTTTTGGCACCCATCAAGAGGAAGGTTTGCTCAACTGTAATTTTTCAGTCATAATTGTGTAAGCTGAACCAATTGAGATGTCTATGGTGTTGGCTATTGTTTCTGTGTTAATTGTCAGCCCTTTTTAATTAGAGCACGATAAAGGCTATTTTTTTCCTTGCAAATTGATATGGACAGACTGCCGCTACAGTCATCTTTAAGATCATTTCATCCTTTCTTAAAATGAGTTTTTCATTTGTAAACTGCTGGTTTCTTTGACGTGTTGTCCCCATAAACTTTCTGTAAAGCATCAGTGATGTCACCATTCCGCCACCCAAGCTTCACCACAAATTTGTTGTTTGTTCTTTGCTTCAATTTTAGCACAATTCATGTTGCTTTGATAGGGGCTCTTTTCAAACTGATAACTTATCCTTCTTAATGCTTCAAACTCAATCCTGTTCAGACATGTTGATAACAAATTAGTACAAGGTTGTTTTGGTGCAAAAAATTTTTTCAATCCATGCATACGTTTTTCATAATACATATTTTCCATAAACTTTTTGAAGACCCCTTCTTTATATGTATATTAAAATACCATGTTTTACACTTTAAATGTATACAACTTTTTTAAATAAGGGAAGAAAAGATCTTAAAGAGTTCGAAGAAAAAATGTCCTTCTCTACCCATATTTAAACAGGATAGGTAGAGGGTGAAGAAACATGGGACATATGGGCAGGCATTTTGCAATTTATAAAAGTAGGAGAAGGGCCAGCCCGGTGGCGCACTGCTACAGTGTGCCGCTTGGGAGTGCGGCGGCGCTCCCGCCGAGGGTTCGGATCCCACATACAGACTGGCCGCTCACTGGCTGAGCGAGGTGCGGGCGCAACACCGAGGGTTGCGATCCCGTTGCCGGTCCCGGTACGGGTGCGACACTGAGGGTCCGGTACGGGTGCGACACTGAAGGTTGCAATCCGTTGCCGGTCACGAAAAAAGACAAAAAGGAAAAAAAAAAAGTAGGAGAAAATAGCAACTCAATTTAAATCCTAATCAAATCACAGCAAATCAAACAAACAAGCAACAAGGCAAAAAACTCTGAGCCTATCTGATTAAGGAGAATTGAACCAGATAAATTTTGAATGAACTTCAAAGCTTTTTGTCTCTTATGGGCTCGCATTCAATCAATATATAGAGAAATGCTTTCACTGATTTGGCAAATATTTATTAAGGACCAGATACCGTGCTAGTTTTGATTTAGAAAAAAAAGATATTGATTCCAAAAATAAGGTAAAATTACCCCTGCTGGCAAAGAGCCTGCATACTACAATAGTAATGCATGTACAGGGGACTGTTTTTACAGCCTAGACTCCTCTTTCCTCCTTTATTCTATCTTATCCTACTTCTAAGAGGAACAATTGGTAAATGCTAAAAATTCCAATTTCTTGACAAAACATTTCTCATGATTTCAAGAGAACTTATTTATAAAACCCCCAAAGTTTCTTCTACAGCTACAAATCATGGTTACTTCCCTGCAAGGAGGCACTGATGCCTTTGAGACACTGACTGGGATGTGATAACTAAACCTGTAATCATGTTTGATGCCAGGAAAATGTTTTCAAAACATCTGCACAATTTAACGAGCCAAGATATTTTGTGAAAGATATTTGTGAATGCTTCCATCAGGACGTACTCATTCATTTGAAGTGATGGGTGGAAATATTTGAAAATATTTGGTCATGTCAACTCTGTGAGTATGTCTGTTTTGAATATGTGTGCATGAGTGTGTATATGCTCATGTGTACCAGAGCAGAATTCTACATACAATCATGTTTTTAAGTTCATACATTTTATGTATTTGATTTTATAGAGGAGAATGAAAGACATTAAGGATAGGAACTAAGATCTACTTTAAAATCAGAGGAGTAATAATAGTCCTTTATTGTTTTAGTAGTATTTTAGAAATTATTTTACCTTTATTATTCAGTCTTTGCCAAAAGCCTGTGAAATAAGCATCAATATTTTCATTTTACAAAATGAGAAGATGTGACTCAGTGTGATTAGGTAATTGAAGTTCCTGAGTTTACTTTCAAAAATAAAAATAAAAGCCCAAGTTCATCACTGTTTCCACCACACTACAGCTGCGCCAATGCTAAAGGCCTGTCTAACCTGTGAAAGGAGGATCAGCAAGGTGGTTCCCAGTGATCTAAGCTCTCTCTCAATCATGCTTGCTGCAGCACAATGTGGTAGAAGGTACTTGGGCTCTGGAGTCAAACGCCTGGGCTTGAGTTCCAGTTCTGCAACTTATTAGCAGTGCATATTTAGCCCTAAACTCTCTGCCTTGTCTTCTCCTAGGAATATTGGCAGTGGTAATACTTACAATGGAAATTTGTTGTGATATCTCTGGCAAATAGTAGGTACTGAAGAATTACCCACAGGCACATTGCCTGAACTCTCCTAGGATGGTGACAAGAGATACAAAATTGACCTGGGCAATATAAGAGTTGTGGGGAAGGGGCCCTGAACATAGAGGCAAGAGTCAATAGGAGCCAGTTTGAATCCTGTGTTAACCCACATGCAGAGAATTAGTTTTTGGCTGTGGTTAGATTCTTCTCTTTAATCTCTAATCCTCCTATTTACCTGTGTCCCAGGGGGAATTATAGCAAGATTAGAGAAGCAGGGACCCCTGAGAACATATGAGAGAGATGTGGGAATGGCATTCATGAACATTTTTTAGAAGGGTCAAAATGGATTTGCCTGATCCTCTTTTTTTTCATCCTTTATAGCTGATGGTGTCTGGGTCTTTAAATGCTTACTCAACAAAGACACTGAGTGTTGCCGTGTGGGGAAGAAGTCCATCCTGATCACTCTGGGGTATAGCAGTGCTTTGCTGAAGTTTGAGTCTCATGCTGGTAAGTTATGCCTATGCTGACCCCTGGCTTTTCTGAAGATGAATCTCCTGATTGGCTGAATTTTCTGATATGAGTTGTCATTGGTTGATGAAATGATTTAAAACTGGTTCTGGTGCTTATTTGATGCCATGGCTAGAGAACAATCAGTCTTTTCCTAGATTATGAGTACTTTTTAATTCTGATCCCTCCTTTTGGTTTTCCTTCATCTATATCTGCAGGAGAGACCACCAAGGATGGTCTAGATCTCCACCACTGTTGTTGCTGAAGATGAGGTTGTGTGTAGAAATGTGATTTTCAGTTGGAGTGTCAATCAGAATGAGGTCATCCTCTTTTCATTTTGAATCATTCATTGAGCACTTTTAGACTCTGAACAAGGAAAATCAGGCAACAGAGAAGTAAACTAAAGTATAAATATTTTAAGGAAGTACTAAAAGGCCCTCTGGAAGATTTCCAGGCTGGTCAAGAAAATTAGAGCCAAAAATGCCTTGTGTCTACCTTAGATGGTTGATTGTCATTTCTATAACTTGGATATAAATTATTCCATCTCAGTTATGTTGTTAATCCAGATACAATGTAAAGTGTTAGCAAGGGTATAGATTCTTCTGTTTAGCCAAAATGTCCAAAGCTCTTCCATTATTTATAACTACATTAGGACCAAGAAGTTGCCTTTATCCATCCATCTTGTTTTTATGATGCATTCAGTGTAAATTTTTCCTTTTTTTTTTTCTTTTTGTGCTCTAATCTACTGAGCTAACTGGCCAACTTCAGAGTAAATTTTAATGATCAGCATATTTTACCCCCATATACTTCAACCTATATATCATTAACTGGAATTTAAAATTCGTCGATGTTTCTTGTGTTTTTTCTATTGAGGTTAAATTTACATACATTGAAATACACAAATCTTAAGAGTATCATCATTTCTGACAGTTACCTCATGTCCTTTTCTAGACGCTCTCCAGAACCATCCTTCCAGAGGTGATCGCCGTTCTGATTTTGTTCCCTACCATAGATTAGCTTTGTTTTTTCTAGAACTTCCTGTAAATGGAATCATTCAGTATATACTCTCTTCAATAAGGCCACTCAGCATAATGTTTTGAGATTCATCAATGTTGTTTCAAATATTAGTAGTTTATTCATTTTGATTAGTAAGTAATAGTCACAGTTTGCTTATCCAGTCTTGTCTTGATGGGCATTGAGGCTGTTTCCAGATTTGGGCTATTATGAATACAGCTACTGTAAGTATTCTCATCCCAGTATTTTTATATACACATGTTTTTTGTCATTTCTCTTGGGTCAATATCTAAGAGTAAAATTTCTGGATCATAGAGTAAGTACATGCTGAGTTTTATAAGAAATAGCCAGAAATTTTCCCACAGTGGTTATACCATTGTATACTCCCAGCCACAATGGATGAGAGTTCTGGTTGCTCCACATTCTTGCTAACATTTGGTCTTTAAGTCTTTTAAAAATTTTTTCCATTTTGCTGGGTCTGTAGGTGTGTCTCATTATGGTTTTAGCTTACATTTCTGATGTTAAGCACTTTTTCATGTGCTTATGAACTCAAATTGTTTGACTGTTACTAATTGGTCGTGTGTCCATGGAGTTGTTGTTCCTTATATATCCAGGATACCAGGCCTGCATCAGTTGTGCAATTTACGAATGTTATCTCCAATTTCATAGCTGCTTATTCATTTCAATAATGATGTCTTATGTTGAGTAGAAATTTGAAAATTTGATGAAGTCTAGTTGATCATTTTTTTTTGTTTATTCTTTTCTATGTCCTAAGAACCCTTTTCCTACTCTCAAATACTGAATGATTTATCTTATATTTCCTTTTACAAGTTTCATAGCATTAGCTTTTATATTTTAGGTATGCAATTCATCTTAATTATTTTTATGGATTTTGGGGTTTTTTTTAATCACCATAATTTATTGTGTGTAAGTATCCTCTTTTTAAAATTTATTATTATTCTTTTATTATTTTAGGGCTTACCAGCAATCGATAGGCTTGCTTTTATTAATCATCTCAATTATTTTTATATGGTATGTGGTATGGGCCAAGAATTATTTTCAGTACATATGAATGTCCAGTTATTCTAACAACATTTTTTGAAAAGACTTTTGCAAGTCAGATTACTACATTAAAGTTGGCCTGCTTTTGAACTCTTTATTCTGTCCCATTGATTGTCCCTATACCCATATCACATTGTCTGAATTACCTTTATAGTAACTCTTGAGGTCTGATAGTTTGAGTCCTTTGCCGTTGTTCTTCTTTGTCACGATTGTTCTGAATATTCTTGGTCCTTTGCATTTCCATATGTGATCATTCTGTGGACTCCACTGCATGCCTCAAGTGTTCAACAAGGTCTCTCCACTATGGTTGCTTAAAACTAAAAACTCTCCCCACATTGTGTTTTCTCTGGGAATTGTTCAGCTTAGAACTCCCTAATAGTTATTCTTTTCCTGTAGAGGCTTTTGTCCAGCTTGTGAAAACCTGCACTACACATGTGCTGTTTAGGATTTACTCGGCTAGAAACTCAAGGAGAACCCTATGCAGATTTTTCTTTCTTCTTTCTTCACATAGTTTCTTCCTCTCTGGTAATCTGCTTTAGAAATTCCGTCAGCAGCTTTGGCCTCCCTGAATTCCAATCTCTCTATCTTCAGCTCAGAAAGACCACCCTGCTCTATTTTGCTTCCCGCACCCTGTGCTGCAGTCTGATTAGTGCTCAGAGGCAGAAAACCAGGGTAACTGTAACCCCTGTACCTTCTTTCAAGAATCACAATTTTGCATGGTCTGTTCTCTATTGTCTGGCAGCTATTGTTTCACATATTTTGTCCAGCTTTTGTGTCAGTGGGAGGAAATACATTAGTAGTTAGTGTGTCATGACTATGAACGAAGTCCTTCATATTTCTTCAAGAGAAAGAAATTCATGTATTCAGAACACTGCAGATTTCTTGGGTAGTAGTTAATGGGCAATTAGGAAAAGCCAGAAGCAATCAACATTCCCATTCCTCTGTGTTTTCATTCTGACACACATCCTAGTTCATTCATGTAATTGTTGTACAACCCAGAGTTCAGAGCCTTCTGCTCTCCAAGCCAGGCAAAACAAATTTTAATTATAAATATCTGCAAATGCTTCCTTCCCCTCAATGGTAGATCTGCCTTTTTGACTTTGATATCCCTATACTGCATGCAAATGATTTATTTCTTTTATCTTCAAGAATCTTCCTATGATTTTAAAATGTGTCCCCAAAATACTGACCACAGACATGAATGGATACAATTACAAACCATACTAGAAAGCTAATTGTTTTCTGTCAAGAACTGTGAAGAGTCTGAGATTTTATCCTACTTGCAAGGTAAACAGATTACCACTGTTTCATGGATACTGACAAAAGATGCAAGACTCTTGGGTCAGATATAAAAGACTTATTGCTCAAAGAAAGATCAGTACCCAGAGTGACAGTGCAGTGTCAGTTCTCTGATCCCCAATTCCCATAGGCAAATGTGGAGGGTCAGATAGGTGCCTGCACATGAAGTCAGTTGCATTACAGGAAAGAAACACCGAGCTTGGGGAACCCACCATTTTATAGCAAGCAGTAAGCAAGCCTTCTCTTGGTTCCACAGGAAGACATTACTGTATACTTCAAAGTTGCTTGCTATGTACACAACCCTGAGAAACAGTCCAGGCAAAAAGTTGTCAAGACTTTGCATTTCTGACATACCTAGTAAGACATGTATGATTCCCAGCAAGAGACCCATGGAGAAATGTCTCCCAACACTTTTTCTCTATGACAAAGATGGAGAGGATTTTCTCATTTATAGACACACAAACACCCAGACAAATAGTAGTGTAGAAAACTTCATTCATAGGTTAAATCAAGTCAGACACAAACACATATATGAACAATTTTTGCAGGAAAGACAGACCTGGATAAGGAAATTTGGTATTTCTTCTACAGATAAGAGAAAATAATAACACTAGTGCAGGATATTCCACAGTGCAACTTTCTTAACAGTTTTATTGAGACAGACCTCAAGTCTCGGTAGACTGTAGCCTTCCTGACCTGGTTGTAGAGAAGTGGATGCTTCAGTCATTACATATCCTGAAAACTGTAGACAAACAACACAGAATAAAGATAAATACCAACCTCTCAGTACTTTTCATTTATTGGAGGTGACCAAACATCCATTAGACAAAGGTAATTCAAATAGGCTTGAGGCAGAAATAAAACCAGATATCCAGACAGCAATAAACCAGAAATAGTTTAGAAGCAGACTCAGTGAATACAAAAATCACTTTCTTAGCATAGTCAGACTCACCCCAGAAGCCAAGGAAGACAAGGCTAGGAATAATGGGGTTATTAGGTGCACTTCTCAGGCAGTGCAGCTTCATCAGCCTTGCTGGATAAGTCCATATGAGCATCTTGGTGGGATCTTTGTGTTAAAAGCTAAAGAAAAAACTTAATAAATAATTTTTCAGTACTGAATAGAGTTTTATCTGTAATAATTAAACATATATGAGGGAGTCCTGCTTTCACAGCAACGGGCACCATGATAAAGAGAGAAGGCTATATTTGTAGGTCAAATATGATATCCTGCAATTCTGATTGGATTACATTTGGGTTAGTTTTAAGAAAAACAAAAAATTCCTGTCTTCCATTATGAAAAACAGTATGAGGATTATATCAAAAAGTGACTTGGAAGGTCCCAGATGGCCCAGATCCCAGGTGGCAGTGAAATCTTGATTGTCATTTGTCAGCCTGGGTGTTGACAGAAGGCTGTCTGCTTGTGTCACTGCCTATCAGACACAATTGCTGAGTTTTCAAGATGTGTTCTGCTTTCCTGAAATAAGAGGATGTGGAGTTTGAAATACGAGGTCCTTGTTTTATATTTAGAAGTGAATAAGCAGCTGCCAAGTATCTGTAACTTGGGAATTAAAAAACCCCAAATTTATGGGAAAGCTGACCTGTACTGATAGTTAGGTGGCGGCACT